ATAAAACATTTTGATCTCATGGTGTGCTTTACATCTAGTTCGGAGTCATGCAACTGTTGAGATACAGATTTTTATAATGTTTCTGGAGCATAAAACATTTTTTTATGTGCTGTACACAATAATTTGAGAGAGAGTGGCGAAAAAGGAATTGAAAATTGAGAGAGGAATAAAGAGAAACTTGAGGAAATGCTACAAAAATTTTAACAAAAAATTGACGAAATTTTAAAAATTTATGATTTTGTCACTGCTGAAAATTTGGAAGCAAAAAAAATAGTCACAATAATCATATTCCATAAAGCACAGAAATTCATCTTCTTGTTCTTGCTCTTAAACATTTGTGATAGTCTTAAAAGATTTTGTGTCTGTTTACCGCGCGATAATAAAAACGGGAAAAATTCTTCTCTTGGTTGTTCTTCTTTTGATATCCACGACACGTAAAATTTGCTACGTGATCAAAATTTCTTTATTCATTTATCATATCAAGAAAGATAAGTACAAAGCAGCAAGTCGAATGAAGCAGCCAGCAAGTAAACAGCATCAGATGAACAAGAGAAATATGAAATGATAATAATAAATGAAATGAAATGAATGAATGAATGTAGTTTGGATGGAAATTTGAATAAAGAGCATTTGCTTGGGATTTTAAACTTCAGTTTCTGTTGTTCTAAGCCATTCTTATAATCTAAAGATCACAATTGTCATCAAGAAATTGATTTTTTTATTTCGCACACCTTTCCTTGGATACAATTATTTTCTCATCATGGGAATGGGAGGGATCTTGATGTTAAGTAACGTCAATTATTGACTCTTAATCTTTTAATCCTCATTTAGAATAAGTTTTGAATCTATTTTATATGTTTTAATTTTAAACTTGTCAAACCTTGATGCTAGAGTCATTAGTGTCTTTTTTATGCTACGCAACATCCAAACGACCTCCATTTCGAAATGAAATTATCTTCTCGCAATTGTTTTGTGCAAATTATCAATTTTATTCGGTGAATTTCGAATCGAAATTGAATGAAATAAATCAAAAATTTCTCATCAATTTTTCTTCAATTATTTTTCATTGCATTTTTGTGCTGCTTTGTCGGTTCTTCTTGCAATTTACTTAGCCTCTAAGATTGTAAAATTCTTACAGAATTCAGCATGTTACTTTACTGCTCTATTTACTATCAATTCTCATGTGGATCGTCTTTTAGTACTAAAAATGTCCTTTTTCTGTGCTTCAGCTACAAATTTTTATTGCCATGTGCTCTGAAAAACTTAATGGAATTTTGTAGTTAATGGCTTTTTAATGATAAGGAAAAATTAGAACTTAGACTTTTATGACAATTTTCCATTAAGAAAATTCGAGCATCTCAAAAATTAAATTTACATTTACCAACAAGCAGCAAGTGAGTAGCAAGCAGTTACATTTGTGGAGATCCTACATACATGAAATGAAAAAAAAAGTCAATTTGTTATCACGATAATCTTTACAGCAAATATTTTCCTCGACCGTCGTTCATGATCAAAATTAAAATTAGTTTTTGCCCTAAAGTTACAAACAATGAGGAATATCTTATATCCAACATAGTTCCATATATTACGCAATATCACATAGAACAAGGAAAATAAATAAAAAGTAATATTTTCTCTTCTTTTTGTGCTGTATATGAAGTAGGAAAGTGACACATTATGACAGTCAATCATTTGTCATTTTCGAATGGATTTTTATTTGATTTTTGAAAAGGCATATTTACCGGCCCTCCCCCCTCAGCGTGCAGTTACCAAGAACCGTTGATGACATTTTTAGCATCTAATGTGTAGCCATGGTAGCATCCCAACTGTTGTTAAGTTAATTTTCATGCTCAAAAAGAAAGATTTTCTAGATTTTGACTACTTAACCTCCAACTCCACATACATCATCCTCCAATATTCCCAAAACCAAAAGCATACAATCAAGGTCACTTAAATTTCAACCAAAATTCAACATTATCCCAGAATCTCCCTGAAAAATTATTTTTTACTTACAATCTCAAAAAAGGCAACAGAATGAAAATTTATGTACAATACAAAAGGAACTAGGAGAAGGTAAATGTAATGGATTAAGAACATGATGAATAAGTAACGAGATTTTTATTTTCTCCTTCAAATGTTTTATTGCTTTTTTCCATCCAATAATTTTTCCCATCCGAAATATTTGAATGACAATTCCTTTTTGTGGTTGGAAAGGAAGCAATAAGGCATCAAAAAACTAAAGAAAGCAGAAAGGAATTATTACCCAGAAAAGAGCAATAATGGTAAATAATTCATGTATAAGTATGGAATTGAGATATTACGTACATGCAGAGTGCTGGATATTGCTGGCAATTTAGTTAAATAATAAGTGAGCCATACGAGCATTTGAATCAATATTTTAATTGTTTCTACAGCAGCAGAAACAACGACCATAAAATAAATCTGCTACACGACATTAAAATCTCATTTCTAACCTACCGTTACATACCGCATATAACATATCATTCCTGATTGCTATCCCTTTTTGCCTCTTTCTCCACGTGGTGCTTAAACAAATAGTTTGAAGCTACAAATTCTTTCTGGGTCAAGTTGAGATTAAGTTGGATTTGAAAACTATCCTTAAAAATTTCAATTTTTTTTTTTTATTTTCATAAAATTTTCTATTATAAAATATGCTTTTTCCCCCCAAGTCATAATCTACATATGTAGGATGGCAAGAATGAAAATGATTACTTTTTGTGCCTACTTGCATATGTAAATAAATCAACTTAATAAATTCGTATCATTAAATCAAATTGTTTGAAAAAGGCAAAAATATTGTACCTATTATGAATATACAAGCTTCACCCCTCCGTTGAACATTAAAATTAATTTTATTTTCTTCTCTTCTAGTGTTGCTTCATATCATGTGCGCATGCAATTTTTAACAAAATATAAAAGTGATTAATTATATTGCGTAGTGACAACTTTGTTAAGTACCTAATTTGTTAAATTAAGTGATGAAAAAAAAAGTTGCTGAAATGAGAAGTCATTAGTCATTTGATGAGTTGAGTTTTACTTATGGATGAATTGCAAATTAGATTATAAAGGGGTTAAGATAGGGTTGAGTGTTGAGTGTTGACTTTTGTGCATAATTGCAGGTGATTTTTTATAAGAAAACAGAACAATAAGTGAGGGTGTGAAATTTTTTGACTTTTAGTGCTTTTCAATTTAAATATTGTTCATATTTTGACAGTTTTTTATGTAGTTTAATTTTTTAATCAGCTATGGGGTCATTTATAAGTGCTGTAAATCAAAAAATGTGATTATCATGTTACGGACACGTCGAAAAATCCGTTATTTTTTGCTTTGAATTTCAAAAAAACCGTTAAATTTTCATGAATATTTCTTGCAAACACTGGCAAAAACAAGACTTGGGTCAACGATTCTTATTCTTAGCTTCGTGTTCAGCTAGAAATTAAATATTAATGCTTAAAATCTTAAAATTGACAACTTTTTAACGGTTTTAAAATATTCAAACGCTTGGTCGACTAAATTTAAACATGTCGAAAATATTCGACACTGAAATTTCCGTAGAATGGTGATTATTAAACCCCTTTATTGTCCCATAATTTTAGACCCTGAGCCCTGGCTTTATGAACCCAAACAATAGAATATAGAGTTGCAATCTAGTCCAACAGGTTTAAATATGATCAATAGCTTAGTAAGATGGGGAATGAGCCTAGACCATAGCCAAATTCTATAAAAAAAGATGTAAATTTATAGATTTTGTCTTATGGAGTGGGGGAAGGGGGGTGGGGTGGGGTCTTGAGAAATATGCTAGTCGCAAAATATCCTTGCTGCACTCATGAACCTAGAAGTCAAATGACTTTCTGTTAAACGATCAAGGGTGTGGAACTGATGAAATGATAAAAAAAAATCAAAATTAATGAAAAATCAGAAATCAAAAATGATCAAAATGTAATTTACAGCACCGCACTTTTGTATACGATCCATAGATAATCTTTGTGTTCACAGCCTCAGCTGTCAAAATAATACACCATAAAATTAGCTTTCAAATTTTTTAAAGTACCATCTTCATACATTTTATCATCCAAATAAAATACTCAGCAATTTCAGATGATCAAAAGCTCAGAATATTCCGATCCTTGAGAATCAAATAAAGTTCTTAAAGCCTCAAAAGAAGAAGAAACAAAAACATTTGCTCGTCATCCTTTAACAACAGAATTATCTCCATTATATCATCATCATCATCTTTATAATCATCATGTTCGATGAAAGAGAAGACTCAGAGAAGAGTGGTTGGTAAAAAAAATGTAGGAAGGAAGGAAAGTATTGATACGTGTTAAATGAAACATCACATCACACAATTCCATTCAATAAAACTGATAAGGAATTTGAGTCACGTGAATATAAAATCGTAAAAAATAAGGTTATTTGGTCATTGCTTCGAAATTACTTTCGGAAAACTCCTTTTTTTATGTCTTTTTATTTATTTACTTACTTGCCTTCTTATTCTTGCCATCCCGTACGTTTTTCTTGTTTTCTTATTTCTGCTGCACGTCACATATGTTCGGTCCGAGAACCCCAGCATGAGAAATTTGTCCATACCAATTTTAGTCAATGCTCAAAGTCTCTTTACTCATGGGACAATTTTAGGCATCTTTTTGTGCTTCATAATCATTTAGAAGTGGACCCTTAAGTGATGAAAATGTTTTATTTAAAAATCATTCCAAGCAGCTCTAGCTAAAAGCCTGAGAGTCAACGATAATGTATCATACGAGAGATATTGAGAGAGCATGTCAAGTGTGGCATCGAACACAACTACACACAAAATATCTCAAGATTGCACAATACACAGAGAGGCAGCGACATTGTTGACTTGTTGTAAGTAAGTTTCATGTTGCGGCTGCACACAGCAGAATAGAAAAAAAAGAAGGAAGAGAAAATGTGAACATTGTGGATGTAAAATTGATTCTTATAACAGCGCGTGTGAGATAAAAAGAAAAAGAGGGAAATGATGTTGCTGTTTCTGCAGACACACAGCAGTTCAGCTGTGTTTCAGTACTTTGCAAAATCTCATAGAGATTGGACGCGAAAGGAAGAGAAGAGAGGAAAGATATTTTTATTTTTTTTGGTTTTGTGTACGAGAATTTCTTGAATGAGGAACAGAAAAAAATGTTGAATTGAAAATTGAATCGCGACTAGAATAAATTAAGTTAGTTCCGAAAAAAAAGTGCAATATGGATCATAATAGTGGAAATTATTCATCGCCATGGGCAGCTGTGCTAGGACATCATCATTCAATGACATCTGATCCGAATTTTACTCATGGTCTTCCAATGGATTTACATGTATCGCAAGGCTTCTCATACTACAGGTACAATTACTTATAATTTCACTTTAATTTCCACACAAAAGCCTCCAAAATTGAGGAAGGCAGAATTGATTTTCACAGAATCGAGCGCGCGGCTTGTGTATATGATTATGAATCAATGCATCATTATTGGGTGTTTGAGACATTAAAAAATTTAAAATTATTATCATTAAATGCACCTTTAATGATGTGTTATGCCGCTTCGAGCATTGAGCATCGTGCATGGAAATTTATAATTGAAAAAATGACTTATATCTCTCACTTCGCACTTACAAAGAATAATTCTCTTGCTAGCTCACTTTTTTTTTGTGAGTCGAACTACATCTTGTGTGTCGGTGTGTGCCTGAAAAGTCGCGGAAATTGCAAAGAAGTCGTAAATGATAAATTATATTACCAAGGCAATATGTAGCTATGTGAAGATCGCAAAAAAATATAATAATGAGTAATTATGCTCAATACAGAGATTTATGGGAGATTTAGTAATTCTAAAGGTGCACCAGCCAATCTTAAAAGTTGTAATTTGGCAGTGAGAAATCGTACCATAATAATAATTCAATAATTATAGTTTAATGTTTATGTGCAGGCATAAGAATGGATGAGTACGGAAATGTGATCTCGCCTGGCACTTCTTTCAAATCGTAACATTGCAATTTAATAATTAATTAAGTTAATCGATATTCAATGAGCGGTTACATGCATAACATGGAACTGACAATTATGGAAATTTAGCTCATAAAAAGCACTTCACATTTTTTTATGTATCTACGCGATTTATGGTAAATGGCAGCATCATTTGTAATGCCCAATTATGTGAGATTTAATTAGCTGTGATAGTCAATATATTTCTTCTTTTTCTTTTACATCTCGCGCCTGCATGGAGATGTATCCCATCTAAGGGAATTGCTCTTTAATGATACGACACAAAAAAAATGGAAGTGAAAAACTTCATCAAGGAATGTGAAAAAAATTTCTCGCTATTTCTTTTGTAAAGTGTGAAAAATACTTTTTTTTTCTTGTGACTCTTTTTATGGGGTTGTTTCGAAATGATGTCACTTAAAAGTTGCGATTTAAGAGTATAATTAACCCAAACTTAATATATGTGACTTAAAACCACAGTGGGCTAGTGCTTTGGTACGTGAAAAATGAAAAACTAACGCAGCAGATATAAGTTCGAATCTTACTAGAAACATTTGCCATTTTTCCGATTTCTAGGGACTAGAATTAACCCAAAAAGCACAATTGTTGTCGATAAAATGGTTCGAATCCTACCTTAAGCTGTGGGATGCTAGATTATGAGCTAGACTTGATAATAATATGTTCTCGTGGTCATGCTTGTAATAATTGATACATTATACACTTCTTATCGATCAGTGCTTCCCGACCTATGCTTCGTGGTACTTTACTGTGTGGCCGGATCCTTAATTGTTTAAGAATTACTGGTATTGATTCAATGGGACGTTAAAACATTCATGAAACAAATTTCAAACCTCTTCAAGAATCTTCATCAATTTGGATGTCACTAAAACCACTTTTAAATAGCCACACAGCTGAAAATCCCCCACTAGACTCCTTTTAAACATTAGACGTCACTCATCGCACAACCCCCACTTCGCACAGACAGAAGAATAGTTTAGTGATAAAAATGCACAATTTGATGCATTGTTAATGTCTATTATGATGATGATTATAGAGCATCAATGATTATTACTGATGATTGATAGTAAGAATAATAATAACAACATTGATGATGATGTTTCATAAAAATAATAATTTACTTCTTCTTCCTGTTCTTCCTCTTTGATAATTTTATAAATAAAAATTTGTTGCACACAAAAATATATTAAAAATACAGAACAGTACAGAAGTGGAAGCATATATAAAGTGAAAAGCGCAAATAAAGTCAAGAAATAAAAGGAATCGAAAATAATCGATCTTGTCTCGAATTTTGCTCTGCGATTTTTTTTTTTATTTCTCGTAAATTTTGGTTCTTATGTTTAGATTTGGGGACCTTTTTGGTAGAATCTTTTGAGCTAGATGATAAATTGAAGAAATAAACATTAATATTGAGCATTTTGCCAAACTTAGTAATAGTCTTAACACTTAAAAGTGACTTGATCTTAAAATTTGAACTGAAAAATTGAGCTAATGTAATTGAAGGATTGAGAATCCAAAGTTCGATTCTCAAGAATGTCAATTGTCACATGACTTTAAAATCAGTAAGAAAAAATGGTGAACTATGGTTGGATCTCAAATTTCATACTAAGCGCATGAATTTCTTGTTGTTTAAAACTTCTTAATCTTCTTAAAATGGCAAAGATAAGGTAAAACCCCGAGCGTAACAAATGAAAAAGGTTCAATCGAGGTTACAAAAAATTTAAGCAGCTTCCTTACAGAAAAGTTTTAATATTGCCTTTGACGGATCCGTGTTGGAGGTTGCATCTTTGAGATGCTCAGGATCAGTCTGACATGTTCTTTACAAATTAAAATTACTAGAAATTTGTGTCAGATATGAGCTGCTTCAATCTCATAATCAAAAACCTGATCGTAACTTGACACAAATAAAGAAAATTAATTTCAAACCTTAACAGTCGTCACAATAAAACCTACAAAACATTTAAAATTGCGACTTTTTACAGACAAAAAGAATTAAAAACGATTAAATGTACGAGAAATTCAACTAAAAATGTCTAAGATAATTTCATCGATATTTAAGCGGCACCAAGTTAAAGACCGTTTCAAGAGAGTGAGAATGAAAGCAATTAAAGCTTTTTTAGCTGCTTTTGTACTTTTAATTGTCCCAACCTCATTTTTCTCTTCAAACATGAAAAAATGCAAACATTTCCAATTATGATGTACAATTAATAGACAAGAAAAGTACCAAAAATTTCCATCTATGGATTTTACGTCCATAGTCAATAAAGTGTGTGAAGAGTCCAAAAATCACCTCAAAAATGCCTCAACAACCCAAAAAAAAATTTATTTTTATTTTTATATAATTTTTTTTTATTCTTCTTCAATTTTGCGATTTTTGATGTAGTTCGATGATGTTGATAGACAGTTGAAAATGTTTTTGTCCTTATGAGAATTTTTTGGCTCGCTTTTTTTTCCATCAATATGTATCGATATGTGATGAAGAAACGAGCAGGCGAAGAAGTAAAAATAAAGTTTTTTTATTGCGACAGGGTGAATAAATTGTTGTTAAGTAATTGCATGATTACGTTTAATTGATTTGTGTATAAAAGTCTCATTATCCAGTTAGTAATGAAACATGATGTTGTTAAAGTGCCTGACGTGATATATAAAAAAATTAATTTTATTTTTTACAAATTATACAAACAAAAAAAATTTTGTAAATCACCCTGTTTTCTGTTTTCATCATCATCAGCAACAACAGCGGCATTTCGAGTATTTTCTCAATTTTCTGTTGTTCTTATCCATATTTTAAAATAAATTATCAATATATAATAATAAGGTTGCATTCTTTTAAGGTGGAATTTAGTTTACTTCAGTTCAATAATTTTTCTTCTCTTTCCGATCCGATTCCGAAAAATTAAAATTAAAAAAAGTATAGGGTTCATGCGAAAGTGACGTCTAAAAATTAGGAAAATGTTGCAACTTAAACATTAAGCTATAAAAGTCAATTTAATTACAATTGCTCCAATGAGGCCCTAATACCTCCATGGGCTGCTCTGGTCAGCCTTAGAAACAACTTCCAGATGTCTTTTCCTGCTACCTTCCTCGGTTGATGCTTTGCTTTCTTCTCTAGCATCATACCTCAAGCATAGAATTTTGCAGCACTTAAAATCTCCATCATTGATACACATCATCCACAAACAACCCCACAATCTACAAATGAGAACCCAGATTGAGGAATGAAACAGTCATATCCATATAATATTATTGATGTCTTGTAAATTTACTAGTTTGATTGCATTTTTTGTAATCATAGCTACAATAAAGCTGCTGAGATGTCACACGACCTGAGCTTAAATACCAATAATGCAATATATGAGACTATAGCATAAATAGCAGTGCAGAATCATTAAATAAAAATTCCTTTATTATGGAATGTTCATAATGTCTCACATAAGTGAATTTTCTTTTTTTTTACTTTTTGTCTCACAGCATCTACGCAGTTATGAGCAAATATAATGGCAGGTGCATTCGCCTCTCATTCAATTTCTATTAATTTTATTTTGATGCATTGATTGTTGTGCTATTGACTTGTCGATCCTAATGAGTGTTAAAATGAGGATAATTGTATTGATGACGTGAGATTTGTTACTTTGTAGTTATTGATTATGTTCTTGGTTCAATTAAGTGAGAAAATATTTAATTGTTTCAAGTTCCTATGTTTGATTATAAGATATATGTATTTTCCTGCTGCTATAGAGTAAACTAGGCTATTTATAGCTATCTTATGTGCATTCAAACTTTATATTAGTTTGAGAAAATAGCGCATCCTCTTTGCGTTTATGTAGGTTAGGGTATCCCAAATTGTCTTAAGAATCCTCTCTAGATTTCAATTTCTAAGCTTAAGATTAGTTCAAGACACTCATAATAAATTAAGTTTTGATTACAGGCTCTCTTTGCTACTAAGAAAAAGCTGACATGTTAAAAGTCAAGACTGAACCAACTTTCATTTAACTGCAAGCTCCTAACAGAGTCAAATCATAAGCGAAGCTCGTATAGGTTTTAGGGGTCTAGATTCTTTTAAAAACTGAATTATAGAAAGGTTTAAATAGGATTAGAAACCCTCCAAGATTGGGAAAAAAAACAATAATTGGGCAAAATTCCTTGCTACACCTCTAGTCCGAAATCAGCTTATTCTTATACATAAACTCAAACCAAACTTTTAAAATTTCTTGACTTAAATTCAGCTAATTAATAAGGTGTGGCAATTTAAGTCTCACGCAGCTAATGAATTCCATTTGAATCAAATTCATTTAATTCCTCAAAAATCTCAATTCACTTTTTAAACATATCCCATAAAGCATTTATATCAGCAAGCATCACTAGTATCATGTTACCACACCATGCAGAGACATTTTAATTCAAAAGTCAATCTCGAATTGTAAGAAAGAAAAAAAATGTTAAATGGTCAGGTGAATGAAATAAAAGTTTTACGATTATTAAGTATGAAATGAGCATTAAATATAGTTACGAAACCATGGTTATATCAATCAATCAATAATTGCCGATTTTCTATCATTATCATCATCATTATTGCTGTAAAATGTTGCTGTGCAGAAAGAAATTCGCAATGTATTCAATTAAAAAAATGTATAAATTTATTAACTGGAAATAATTCTTGTAATGTCAATATAATATATATAAATCGATGACAAAATACCGAGGGGGAGCTATCGTGATGGGAAAAAGTTTTGATCTGAAATTCTCATTAATTTTTATTTTTTGATCCTTTTTCTTACCATTTTCATGATTTCCCGCCCAACATTTTGATGAGAAATCGAAAAAAAATTTCCTTTTAAAATATTTGCTCACCATGCTGTTCCCCCCTCACAAAATACACAAAAACAAAACGGGTACTTGTCAACAATTAAATGCAATTTGTTTTGCGAAGTGAAAGAGAGTCCAGTAAAGTGAGTGAGAGAGATAGATAAAGAAAAATTAATCATAAATGATTTTGTTCCCGCACTGCAGACAGAGACATGCACTCATGTTTATTATTGATGATAAATTATTCGCATTTATGAAAGCATAATAATGAAAGAAATAACATCAAAAAAAATATTTTTATTTCATTTCAGATATCGCGAACAAATGGAGCCGTTCTGTTGGAATGATAGGTAAATATTAAGATGTTTTTGACAACTTCGTGCGATGAATTAAACAAGTTTTTTATTGCTTGATTGCGCATCCAACTAAATCAACGACATCGAATCATTTTAGGAAGCCTGTAATTGATGCACAAGCATCGGCTGTTAATTCACGGTAAGTCGCGAATGCAACTTCTTTTTGTTACATTTTGCGCGAGCAAAAAAACAGTATGAGAATGAGGATAAAGAAGCAGTGAATGAAAAGATGTTTTAGGGGTTTTGGATGTGGCGTTGATTTTATTTGGGATTATGGATTTGGATTTGAACTTCTTCTTCAGCTAAGAAATTGTCTAAGCTTTAAACACCATCTGTATTTACAGCTGTATGTCATTTATACCCATTAAACTACAGCTGTAAACTAAAGCTGTAATTTGATTTTTACGTAACGACATAATCTACAGCTACAATTTTAGTACAGCGGTAATTTGATGCTAAATAGTATAGGGTGTCTATCTCAACCCTACAGTAGGTTTTAACTAAATTAGAGTATGGTCAGAAACCGAACCATAGCCCTGCTCAATCTAGGAACAACATCAAATACCCCTAAAATCAAATTCAGAATCCCCAAAAACCACGAAATAATGAAGCAACTTCAAAAGTTGAAGATACAAAACGAAATACCAAATTAAATTATAAAAACAGGCAATTTTACACTTGAATTCACAAAGAATTGAGTTCCTTTTAAATGAATCTTTACTTTATTGATAAAATAGATTGTTGATAGCGAAAGACTGAATAAATTTACAATTTCTTTCCTTATTTTTTTTTTGCGAATGCATTAAATTGCAAATGACAGGGATGGGATGAACATTTTAGTCTAGTCATGTGCTGCTTTTATATTTGTTCAATTTCTCTCTCATTTAATTCAATCAAGATGCGAAATTTTATTTTTGTTCCTTTTTTTTCAAAATATTTCTTGTCAAAAAGTATAAACTCTGACTCGCATGCATATATGTGATCGTATGAAAAGGGGAAATAATAGGATGATTGAATTTTTCAGTTTTCTGACAGTAGCAATTGACAAAATTATGTAAAGTAGTGTCTAATCAGAAGAGATGAACATTGAATGATTATATGTTCAAAAACTGCAAATGCGGAGATGATTTTTGAATTTTTGTATCTCATCCAGCTTGTATGCAGGACTTAGTCTAGTAGAATTCACGGTCGCAATTCAAGAAATCAATTACTTCCATTTATAGAACATTTAAAGACTATAAATTCTTCACTGTAGCTAGACAATCCAAGTCAGAATAAGAATTATGGCAACTTAATGTCATAAAGTAACAATAAATCACATTCACATCCACACAGCTTATCAAGTATCAAAACATTTCAATAAAATCGTCACGATTTTAATTTTATTTTAATCAATTCCAACAATTTATAAATAAAAATCGCAAATGGCGCTCCCACAAATTACATTAAATATTCAATAAATTAACGATAGTGGACAATTCTTTGAATTCGAAGGAAAAGAAGACAATTTTTATGAATGAAATAAAAACTTTTAAAATTTCCATAATTCTGATGAAATGAAGTCATAAAAAAGTCATCATAAATTAGAATTTTTATGGCTAGTGACTACTGAACTACTGAAAAAGATAGAAAAACAAACAAAAGAGTAAATAAGAGATAAGTTTTAATCAATTTCGTATCCATCAGCTAGTTTTGAAGAAAGAAAGTGTAAAAGACACGTAAAATATTAGGATGAGGATGTGCAGCTAAACAGTAAGTTGATAGAAACACGTGTAAATTCAACTTTTTTATGGCTTTTTCTTCTCAGAAGATGAAAGTGTTAATAATATAAAGAAATTATTAAGAAAGGAACGAAAATTGAAAAAGTTTAATAAATTAAAAAATAATGGGTTGTTGTTTATTGAAAAGTCATCGTGTGGTCCTTAATTGCCTTTCTTTCTCTCTTTACACTCTATTCATTAAGATTAGGTAGACAAATATTTATTTGTTGTTGAGTTCTTATTGAGATAAATTTTGTGGTGATTAATATTCAGTTAAATGCTCCTGTGGAGTAATTGGCTAAGTGCTTGGCTCAAATTTGGTTTAGGAATGCTAAGGTGGTTGGTTCAAATCCTACTAATTTTCAAATTCGTGTATTTTCGGAAGTTTTGATTAATTCGACTGCAAATCAACAAGATCAAGATAGAATTGGAATTATAGGACTCATCAAGTTAAGGAATTGGCCAGAAGCTTCAAGTTTTGCATAAGAAATCGTTGTTTAGTTGATTGTTGCCACAGCTTTCCATCTAAAACACATTTCTGAATAATAGTGACTACATCCTTAGTTTGTGAACATCACTAGCTTGGGCCACGAAAACAAATGTGTTTATTCATAATATCACATATCATAGTTCCACTAATTTGGTTTTTGAACATGCATTCAGGATGATAAAGCCCCAAGATTTATTCTGTTAACTACATAAACTCAATTGATCTACAAAATATACTTTTCAACTTCTGTAAACGAGCCTCGTTAGCAGTACCTATGAATCTAATCTAACGTAAATCCATCAAATTCCACAGATGTTACATACTGCAAAGCAGCTTTAAATTCCACCTGCAACTCTTAATTCAACCGCAAGTCTTACAAAATATAAATCCTAAATTGCAATCCAATTCGAAATTATCCCAATCTATAAGTCCAGTAGCAGTAAATCAAAACTTAATACAGTCATGAATTGCTACAATTTATCAATATCATAGCAGTAATTAAGCAAAACTTTCAAACAGACTTCCCATATGAAATGAGTATAAGCCTTATAATCGGAGCATTCACATCTGACTATTATCGATCGTACGAAAAAAAAAAAAGTTTTCAGTATTGAATATACCAAAACATATATATCATTTCCTCAATGTCACAATACACACAGTTATTATTACTTATAGCAAACGTGCACAAATGCCGGTGCACGTAAAAAAAAGTATTCAATCGTGTACACACATATATGACGATGATGATGATTCTGATGACGATATTAATGCGGCGTGTATTTAGTTAAAATTCGTCCAGCATATCCAATACCAAGTATTTTTGGATATAGTTCATGCAAACGTGTTGTTGCTAATAGAAACTTTTTGATTGATAAAAATAACTTGTTGAGCTTATTTCTTTGTTGTTCTCTGTCTGCTTGGCTGGATGATCAGATTGAATAAAATTAACAAAAAACTTTTTAGATCGACATTGATTTCAATTCATACACACAAAACAGAGAATCAGAAGCAGCAAGAAAAGAATATTTTTCTATGTCATGTGAAACGTGTCGCGCCCGAATCTCTTTTGTGATGTTGCACGAGGCGTGGCTTAATTGTAAAACCAATCACGTTCATAGAGAAAACGTACGAGCATGTAGATGGAGAAAGAAAGAGAGACTGTGGAGCATCATAATGTAAATATGAAGCTATGCTGCATACACAAAAAAATTATCTCAAAGTCACGTCCCGACCAATCATTAGTCGAATCATCATTCACAAAAACACTGGATTTGATCTCAGCGTAAGGCACAAAAAAAAGTAGAAATTTTTAGGATGTTTCTCTCTTTTTCTCCATTCCTCTCTCTCACTCTCTCTGAAAAAAGAATATTTATCGACGGTGTGCTAATTTGTAATGCAAAAGACGTTCCATCTTTATTTTCTGATGATGTTGTATGTATTGATAGAAAAGCTGGCAACATATTATACAAAACCATAACTGAACACTTCTTTTTTTGTTGTTTTTTTTTGTGCTTCCAACACTGAGCACTAACCAGTTGGACTTTTGTCGAGTCTTTGGGTGCACGTATCGCGTCGTCCATGTGCTCAATTTACCCTTCAATTGTTCGTGTATACGTTTTCGGTAGAGAGAGATTATTAGAGAAACAGACATTGAAATCAGCTGATGAATGAAAGAAGAAAGGTCCTCCATAGACTTCCGATTTTTGAAAAGCAGCAAATAAATGCGAAAAGTGTATGACGGAATTATTATTGCTCGTTCGTGACTGTCATTTAAGTGAAGTGAATATTTTGTTTAGGTGCAATTCTGTGATTCAATAAGCTACAGAAACTTTTTTTTTAATGCTGCACATAGAATATTTTTAAATAAAATTGTGACATTGAAAGTTGTGCATTAAAATGTTGCCATTTACGGCAGTCGCTGCAATTGATTATGCAGCATATCAGTCACGTCCTGGTTTACCGGCTATTGGAAGTTCAACAGCAGCCGCTGCGGTAGCATTTACTCACAGCTGGTTGGTACCGAATCAAGAGTTTGTTGGAAATTTTAATGATGATCAACATCAGGCTCAGCAGCTAATTGATCCTGGGCATGTTTTTATTTTTTATTTTATTGTTTTTTAAAATATTTTTTATTACAATCTCTTTATTTATTTCATTTATCATGTGTAGATGAGGGATGTTGATGTTTTCATACGATATTTATGAATAGTCTTGTGTCAGACCTGAAATTTTGTGTAATATTGTTTTTTGTGGCTTAAATTACTAATTTTAAAAGCTGAATTGAGCCAGATTGTGCTGAATTGATCTAGACTTTGCTGAATTGAGCTAGATTGTGCTTAATTGAGCCAGATTTTGTTGAATTAAGCCAGATTTTGCTTAATTAAACCAGATTATGCTGAATTGAGCCAGATTGTGCTGAATTGATACGCTTGATTGAAATTAAATAAATTTGTGATAAGTTGAGCTAGATTGCATTGAAGACAGATTGTTTGAGTATGTAATAGCCAGAACAAACTTCCATCTGAATAAAATTTTATGTCAAGTCTTTTAACATTTTCTGCAGAATTTACACCTTTAAATAAATAAAAGTGTATGATTTTATCAAACCCACCCTCACTCACTTACATAACTCTATCTTTTAACTTAAAATATAAACTAATAAATTTCACAAAATCAAATAAAAATCTGTTATAAAAGGCAAAGTTGTACCTTTTTACAGAAAATAGAATCCCTCAGGGAACAATAATATCAAAAGGATTTTTTAAGGGATAATTTTTGTTTATTCTTTTCTATTGTGCTGCACAATGGTCAGTTACCTTATCTTAAATCAAAAATCTAGATTTCTTTAAATTGTAAAATAATAATAGAAGTAACGGTATTTGAATTTTAAAAAATTTCTTTCTTCTTATTCTTTAACAATACAGCCAATTCGATAGCTTTAATTCTGATTATGTCAAAGAACTGAAAATTTATTGTAAATTAAAGAAAAGACCAGAAATCCAATTCAAGAAAATTGTTCAATCTCATGGGATGGGAAAGAGAAACACGAAAAGTCATCATCATATAATCTATCCGTCCACACATATACCAGATTGATGTGAAGTTCTCCTTGCTCGAGTAAAAATGAATGTTTTTTTTTGCTGACTCCTTCAAAAATCAAAATTTACTGCAAATCATGCTGGATGGCGATTGTTTGCTGACAGTGAAAATTAGATCATGCTTACATCCATCTCTCTGTGCTCACATAAAATTGTGTTCCTTTATTTTTATGAGAATTTAGTTCCATTTCATTTTATTTATGACAATGACAAAAGATTAGTCATCAAGTTCAGTTTGTGTATTAGCCACAGCTTTGTCGGCGTTTTCACTTTGTTCTCTCTCACCCGTCTTTATTTTCCGCATATGAAATGGCATCATCATTATCATTATTATTACGAATCTCAATTCTCCTTCTTATTTCTTACTTTTTTTTCGTCATCTTATCGCGAAAGTAATCAAATAAGACATTCGCATGAGATCCATCGCGAGTCCAAATCAAGTTCGTTATGAATGAATGGATGGATGAATGAAACAACAACAGCAGAACGAGAAGTAAAAAAAAATATCATAAACATTAATTTGTTTACTGTCGGATCTCGGCAAGTTACTTCATATCATCTCTCATGTCGTATGGATATGGGTAGACGAGACTTGTTAGCTTTTTTACCGAGCAAAATGATTCTTATCTCGCTCAAAATTTATGCTTCTTTGCAAGCTTTTGTGGATTTAATGAATGGATGATGATCATTTTGTCTTACATGCTACTTACATGAATTGTTCTTGTTGGCTGTTACTAAGTTTATTATTTGACTAGAAGTTGAGTTTTTGACTAGAATTCTACGTTGAACATTGACTAGATGCTTAGAATTGCTACATGATCTTCATCTGAACATCTATCTCATCAGAAAAATTGCAGAGATAAAGATGTTTCAGCAGTACTCCAGGAGTATGAGACATTTATAATGACCCTAATTGCTTTCCTAGCTGCGTCTTTAGGTGTTCTCAAGAATCAGAATAAATATATGAGCAAGGATTGTCCCAAGGAGATGTTATAGGGTTCTACTAAACTCTATCTCAATACAAACCATGTGCTAAGGTTATAGCTTGGTTTACTTGTGTCCACCCTAGTTTGTAACTTAGAAATATCATATTACTTGCCATGAGAAGTCCTATCAATCATTCTTATTGTGACTTGTTTGCCCTTAATCATTAAATTAGTTCTAGATTTTCAAATGCGCTTTAAATCCAATAATCCAAAGCACAAAAATCTCCCAACTTAAATATTATTATTCATCCTCTTAAAATGACGCAGGTGAAACTGGAAGATGATTCTCAACTATTTTTTATATTCATTTCTAATTTAAAATTCTGTTAGATGATTCATCAAAATTTTATATTCTATTTTATTATTTTTATTCATTGAAAAAGACTCAGTGAACACAGAAGCTAGACTAGAAAAATCTTTAAGGTGGTAAATTTATAAATCTATATGGGCATGTATCAAGCAATTTCATGGCTGATTGACGCAAAGATTAATTTTTTTTATTTCTCAAAAATATTCCAAAAATCTATTTTGTTTTGGATTATTTAAGTGTCACATTAGTTCCACTGATTTTAGTTTTTTTTTTCCTCGATAGCTCTCTTTCTATAAATTTATCTATCTATCATTCTATTATTTCAACACCATTAAAATCCTCAAATATGCTCGTTTTAAACGTGAATCTGATTAATTAGTATCGCTTTAAAATATAAAATTATTTTTCAATTTGAAATGCTGATTTGATGATGCAAATCACTTCTCACATATGTTGTGTATGAATAGATGTTAAATAGCTCTGACATGCTAACGAAAATTGTTTTGGCCTGAAAATAAACAAAGGTGAAATTCACAGTTTAATTTCACTTGCTTTTGCAGTTGTAGGAATTATGCAATCCAGGGGGTATGAATGTAATTTTTTTTTGAAGTTTTGTGTTGAAATGTTGAATTATGCTAGAAACAACGCAACATCTTGTGGCAAGTTTTATTGATTTTGTTGGAATAAGTGATTCCATATGCCAGTCAATAATAAATCATGTTGAAGCAAGGAAAAAGGAAAGAGATTGTAACTTATATTTGGGATTTAGCTTTATTGTCGTCTAACACCTGATAACTCTATGGTAGGAGCATGCGACCGAAAATTATAAGACGTAGGTTCGAGTCCTACTCGGGATCCGTTATTCGGAGTCATTCTTTTTTCTTTGGTTTTTTCACCTCCATCTGCTTCTTCCTTCTAGATGTTACAATAGTTTTGAACTTTTTGTTCCAATTTCTGATGGTTTAAAGTTGTTTTATGCCATAAATTTGTCAACTTAATAGTAACACCTCTATAGTCAAGTTATTAAGCATTAAACCTCAAATCTGCAATCCTTTCTCGTGATGATGTTGGTTCAAAACCTACGAGAAGCTAACATCTTAATCATTACATTAGATAGTTGTCTATAATTCCGAATTCTTAGTTCCCGAAAATTCAACAAAAAATCATTAACAAAGAACCTTAAATCTTTCTTCTACTTCCAGCATACTAGAGTTACGAAAAGAAAAATCACGAGATGCCGCACGATCGAGACGTGGAAAAGAGAATTTTGAATTTTATGAATTGGCAAAAATGCTTCCATTACCCGGTGCAATAACAAGTCAATTAGATAAAGCATCAATCATCCGACTAACAATGAGTTATTTAAAATTACGAGACTTTACTGCACATGGAGATCCACCATGGAATCGAGAGAATAAGACAATGAGCAAAATATTTAAAAGTAAGGAAATGAGTAATTAAATGCCCGCTAGTCTTCCCTATTTTCTTATTGCTTAGTAAGGAGGAAATAATATTGATAACTAAAGTTCGTATGTTAGTTCATTAAATGTATATCCTTGATTCTCATTAGCATTTATATGAAATGAGAGAAAATGGAAATTGTCTTGAGGGGAAGAAAATAAGGAAGATTAACAAATAAACTATCATCAAAAAAATAAGGAAGAATTTCTATTAATTTCTCACCCAGCATAAGAATGAAATTTATTCATTTCGGAATTTTATATTGAAAAGTATTTAACCCCTTCAAGATTTTCATTATTAAGTGGATATTTCAATACATGCATCACAATCATTATTTATTGTGTTTATTTTGGCAATGCCTTCAAGGGCTTATATATTTTGAAATACACCACACTAATCACAACAATGAATTAATGATAACTTAATTAAAGTCAACAAGATAATTCCCCATTGAAAGGGGTTCCAGTCATTGACAATGCTAAAATTTTAATTATTTTCACAGGCAATTCAGCGTCGAGAAGAACGACAGCCGGATTAGCATTAGAATTATTTGAACAGCATCAAGGGACACACATACTTCAATCACTTGATGGATTTACACTGGCACTTGCTGCAGATGGACGATTTTTGTATATATCGGAAACTGTCTCGATTTATCTGGGATTATCACAGGTTAGATATGGTGACTAGGAACTTTTTAAAAATTAAAATAGAATTTATAGCTGAATAGGAAAATTGAAAAAACTAAATGCATGGAGGAACTTAGAAAATGTCTACATTTGAAATTTGTCAAGATGTAAATGATCAATCTGATGATGTTCATAGATAATCATTAGCATCTAGTCAGCAATAAATTTGTCTTACAGATGCACATGTAAGCAAGTCTGCTAGCTACTAATGACTAACTTAATACAGCACCTTAGTGGTCGAGCTATAGATTTGAAATGATGAACTATAACTTTTGTAAAGAAACGTGAGTTCGATTCTCGCTTTTAATCAATGGTTTTTATGGACGTCATGGCAAGTGATTGCGCAATGCTTTAGGCATTTCATTTCTTTGAGAATCGACTTCCTTACTTACATCGATGACCTTACAGATCAGTTGTGATTCATGACCTCCCTCAGATGTCGCCTAAAACTGGCATTATCGCTGGCTATTGATTGCCAATTTCCTATGCCAAATGTCAAACTGTCTCTATCAACAGCCTGTTTCCATGAGTTCTTTGGTCTTCCACGTGCTCTTTTTTCATCCACAATTAAGAATCTAATGAATTCAAATCAATGGGATCAGTTTTGGACCAGTCTTTAATTAGAGCATTAAGTTTACAAGCCAGTTGTTTTATTTTCCTGGCAGATGTTAGGCATTCTGTCAATTAGAGCACATTTGCTTCAAATTATTTAACGGTAAATACTGTGTGCAGCACCAAAGTTTTCTAAAATGACTCTATAACAATATTGTAAAATCCTATTGAACAAATGCCTTGGGTGAAGTTCAACAAAATTTTGTCAGTTCCTTAAAAACTAGAAATAACAGTTTAAGAGCACATTTGTTCATCATCCAACTTCATTCATCTTTCAAAAGCTTTAAAAAATTCATAAAATAAATATGCAACTGAGCTTTTTTCTATCGCTTTGAGAACTGCATGCATACATAAAATATGCTAAAATAGAAAAGATGCCATTCTGCCAAAAAGGAACAGCGTGTAAATTTCATTTCACATTTCTATGTTTGTGAATAGTTGAGATGGAAATTCCTCTATGTATATATTCAGTTCTGCAAAGAAGCATGAGGAATAACATGAAATAAAAATGAAGCAAGAATATTTTTTTTCAATGTTTGTAGCTGCACAAAACAGAGCGAACTTGGATCCCAGAAAATAAATATAATTTTATTGCAAAAATGCAGATCACGTAGCATATGATGGTGGAGAAAGAGCGACTGAGTTTAGTGGGAGAGAAAGGTTTTTATTTGGCGAAAAAGAAAATCAATAAATGCCTTTTTTTTGTTCCTTCAGGTCGTTGCTGTATACTGAAATGAGATTCCTTTCTCGAATGGCATTTTCATTATAGATTTGAATTAGTCCTGAGGGAGGTACTGAAGTAGGAGACGAAAATGCAAAACAAATTCATAGAATTTAATTGATCTCGACATTATTTTCAATAATAGACATCCTTTATGGGTTATTTCTTCTCTGTGGAATTATTACTATCATTATTGTAAGCAATAAATCAAGCTATATGAACGTTATGGAATTTTTAGTGTTGAACACATTCTTGGTCCCGTTTCATTTTTCACGCGCATGAGCGATTTTTTTTTCAACTCAAAACTTCTTTAATGAAAGAAGTAAACTCAACTTGAATTTTTATATTTATACATAAAAGAGGCAATTGCCCCAAAATGTTAACGTTTCGTTCTCAACGATTACTTAAAGAAAGGTTTTTTATTTTGTTTTATTAAATTTGTTTTGTTATGGGTTAATGATGACGAGAAGGAAATTCTTGTTGTCATCACACGAAAGCAAGTTTTTCAAAGTCAAGCATATTCATTAAGTCTTGTCTTATGGCATTTTGGGAGTGTGTGAATTTAAGAGATAAAGCTTGAAGTCGACTGCTTAACCTCCCATTACAGCATTAGGATTGAACAAGTCTTTTGCCAACTCTGCCAAGCTTGGTCTGAACTTAGGTCAATTTCTGGTTAACGAGATTGTCACCAGTCTTGATTCCCATTAAACATTTCAAACTAGTAATTTGAAAAGAGGTGGGCTTGGAGGTTCTTTTAAACCAGTGTTGTCTAAACTATTTGAGCCACGGGACAATTTTGGAATAAGCCATGACCAAAGTCAAACAGAGCATACGACTTGGGTCATTTCGAAAAAAAATTCTATAGCAGACCAGTGTTACGCGGCACAAAGTTTGGACAACACTGTATAAAACTCGCTGGGGTTTTAAATTAAAATGAAGAAATTTCTCTTGACGAAGAGGATTCGGCACCAACCGCCTCTAGCTACACGCCTATATCTCTTCCCACCCAGCATGCGCCTCAAGTCTCCTTCATTAAAGAAGTATCTCCAACTTTTCATACCTCAGTAAAAACAATTTAATTCAATTAGTAAGTCTGTTCACAATTCAATGGTTTCCTTCATAAATAAAATATATAAAATTAAATTTTTTCCACAATACATGCTCACACATTTCATTTAATGTGTGTGATAGATATAATATGTAAATGAATTGTTTTGTGAATGACAGCTCACCGGCTCTATCAGCAACAACCGTTGAGAGTTACGGCATTTCTTAGAAATGAAGAAATACAAAAATAAAAAATTGTTGAATTAAAGCAGGATAATTATAAGCTGCACATGATTCACATGATGATGATGACAACAGCTTTGCTGTGGTTTATTGTTGTGAAAGCATGGAATATATTTTCTTTTATTAAGAAACTCTTGCATTTCAACTCTTTAAAATGAGACCTAGAAAATAATAATAAATAAAATTTAAATCAGCAAATGCAAAAATATCAAAAAGATCGTGACTTGAATGCATAATTAAGGCTGTTGATGTTGAAACTTTATTTTTATTATAAAGTGAAATTTCAACCAAATCTAAAACTTTATTTTATTTTATTTTTTTTTCAATTTATTTAAACAGGTTGAAATGACGGGAAGCAGCATATTTGATTATATCCATCAAGGTGACCATTCTGAGATTGCGGAGCAGTTGGGTCTAAGTTTGACGAGTCAAAGTAGCAGCAACAGTGGAATGACATCACCATCATCAAATAATGAAGAACCTATTGGTACTAACAATCCTGATGGTTAGAAATTTCCTTATTTAATGACAGGGGTGTATTTGGATGTTTTGTCAATCAAAGGGATGTAAATGGAAAGGAGGAAAAATTTAATGGCTTGATCAGAGGAAGAATTTGCCTTTTAATTTCACTAGTTTGTCATTTATATGGTGAATAAAGCTTCTTAAGTGCTAAATTATTATATTAACATTAGGGTTATGCTGGCTATAGAACAGCCTACTCTTTAGTACTGTGAGGGGAATGGCATAGTATTTTGATTAAGACATGACATAACAAGACTAGATTGAACCTTCAAAGGACCACAGGGCCATATCTATACTTTATCCAAAAACCTATCTTTAAAGCTATCCCACTTAGGTATGTTCTGCCCCAGGAGTATTTGCTGTTCCTTCCTATACTGAGTAATTGACCTCTATCTATGTTGCTTGTCATTGACATCACATTTCACTTACAAAGCCCTTGAAAGTGACAAATTTTAAGTTTTTAACTAGATACACCTCTGATTTTTGATTTTATTGAATTACTACAGTTTCTGGGTAGCGAAGAACTGCTGCATACCGATTTTTAATACATATTTAAATAATGAACTATAAAAAACTAGTATAGAAGTCGCCGTTACAGATGTGAAGGCTATTTTCAAAAAAAAAATCGATTTTATATCTAAATTAGCATTCTTTATCAACTATAATACCTTGATATGTTTTAAAATGCAATTTAAAGCATTTTTGGTTTTGATCATAGTAGGCTTTTTTCAAAAAAAAATTCGATTTTATATCTATAATAGCATTCTTTATCATTTATAAAACCCAGATATGTTTTAAAATGCAATTTAAAGCATTTTTGGTTTTGATCATAGTAGGCTTTTTTCAAAAAAGAATTCGATTTTATATCTATAATAGCATTCTGTATCATTTATAATACCGAGATATGTTTTAAAATGCAATTTAAAGCATTTTTGGTTTTGATCATAGTAGGCTATTTTCAAAAAAATTCGATTTTATATCTATATTAGCATTCTTTATCAACTATAATACCTTGATATGTTTTAAAATGCAATTTAAAGCATTTTTGGTTTTGATCATAGTAGGCTATTTTCAAAAAAGAATTCGATTTTATATCTATAATAGCATTCTTTATCAATTATAATACCGAGATATGTTTTAAAATGCAATTTTAAGCATTTTTGGTTTTGATCATAGTAGGCTTTTTTCAAAAAAAAATTCGATTTTATATCTATAATAGCATTCTTTATCAATTATAATACCGAGATATGTTTTAAAATGCAATTTTAAGCATTTTTGGTTTTGATCATAGTAGGCTTTTTTCAAAAAAAAAATCGATTTTATATCTATAATAGCATTCTGTATCATTTATAATACTGAGATATGTTTTAAAATGCAATTTAAAGCATTTTTGGTTTTGATCATAGTAGGCTATTTTCAAAAAAGAATTCGATTTTATATCTATAATAGCATTCTTTATCATTTATAAAACCCAGATATGTTTTAAAATGCAATTTAAAGCATTTTTGGTTTTGATCATAGTAGGCTATTTTCAAAAAAGAATTCGATTTTATATCTATAATAGCATTCTTTATCAATTATAATACCGAGATATGTTTTAAAATGCAATTTAAAGCATTTTTGGTTTTGATCATAGTAGGCTTTTTTCAAAAAAAAAATCGATTTTATATCTATAATAGCATTCTGTATCATTTATAATACTGAGATATGTTTTAAAATGCAATTTAAAGCATTTTTGGTTTTGATCATAGTAGGCTATTTTCAAAAAAGAATTCGATTTTATATCTATAATAGCATTCTTTATCAATTATAATACCGAGATATGTTTTAAAATGCAATTTAAAGCATTTTTGGTTTTGATCATAGTAGGCTATTTTCAAAAAAAAAATCGATTTTATATCTATATTAGCATTCTTTATCAATTATAATACCGAGATATGTTTTAAAATGCAATTTAAACCATTTTTGGTTTTGATCATAGGAGGCTATTCTCAAAAAAAAATTCGATTTTATATCTATATTAGCATTCTTTATCATTTATAATACCTAGATATGTTTTAAAATGCAATTTAAAGCATTTTTGGTTTTGATCATAGGAGGCTATTTTCAAAAAAAATTCGATTTTATATCTATAATAGCATTCGTTATCATTTATAATACCTAGATATGTTTTAAAATGCAATTTAAAGCATTATTGGTTTTGATCATAGTAGGCTATTTTCAAAAAAATATCGATTTTATATCTATATTAAATTTTTTTATAATTTATAATACCAAGATGTGTTTTAAAATGCAATTTAAACCATTTTTGGTTTTGATCATAGGAGGCTATTCTCAAAAAAAAATTCGATTTTATATCTATATTAAATTTTTTTATAATTTATAATACCAAGATGTGTTTTAAAATGCAATTTAAACCATTTTTGGTTTTGATCATAGGAGGCTATTCTCAAAAAAAATTCGATTTTATATCTATATTAGCATTCTTTATCATTTATAATACCTAGATATGTTTTAAAATGCAATTTAAAGCATTTTTGGTTTTGATCATAGTAGGCTATTTTCAAAAAAAAATCGATTTTATATCTATATTAGCATTCTTTATCAATTATAATACCTAGATATGTTTTAAAATGCAATTTAAAGCATTTTTGGTTTTGATCATAGTAGGCTATTTTCAAAAAAAATTCGATTTCATATCTTTATTAGCATTCTTTATCAATTATAATACCTAGATATGTTTTAAAATGCAATTTAAAGCATTTTTGGTTTTGATCATAGTAGGCTATTTTCAAAAAAAATTCGATTTTATATCTATATTAGCATTTTTTATCATTTATAATACCTAGATATGTTTTAAAATGCTATTTAAACCATTTTTGGTTTTGATCATAGTAGGCTATTTTCAAAAAAAATTCGATTTTATATCTATATTAGCATTCTTTATCAATTATAATACCGAGATATGTTTTAAAATGCAATTTAAAGCATTTTTGGTTTTGATCATAGTAGGCTATTTTCAAAAAAAATTCGATTTTATATCTATAATAGTATTCTTTATCATTTATAATACCGAGATATGTTTTAAAATGCAATTTGAAGCATTTTTGGTTTTGATCATAGTAGGCTATTTTCAAAAAAAATTCGATTTTATATCTTTAATAGTATTCTTTATCATTTATAATACCGAGATATGTTTTAAAATGCAATTTAAAGCATTTTTGGTTTTGATCATAGTAGGCTATTTTCAAAAAAAAAATTCGACTTTATATCTATAATAGCATTCTTTATCAATTATAATACCGAGATATGTTTTAAAATGCAATTTGAAGCATTTTTGGTTCTGATCATAGTAGGCTATTTTCAAAAAAAAATCGATTTTATATCTTTAATAGTATTCTTTATCATTTATAATACCGAGATATGTTTTAAAATGCAATTTAAAGCATTTTTGGTTTTGATCATAGTAGGCTATTTTCAAAAAAAAAATTCGACTTTATATCTGAATTAGCATTTCTTTATCATTTATAATACCTAAATGTGATTTAAAATGCAATTTAAAGCATTTTTGGTTTTGATCATAGTAGGTTTTTTTTTAAAAAAAATTCGATTTTATATCTATATTAGCATTTTTTATCATTTATATTATCTAGATATGTTTTCTAAAGCAATTTAAAGCATTTTTGGTTTTGATCATAGTAGGCTATTTTAAAAAAAATTCGATTTTATTTCTATATAAGCATTGTTTAAAATGAAAATGCGTTAAAAATACAGTTTTTTCAAAGCACTTTACCTTACTTTATAGTCCACAAAATAACATTTTCACGCTTCTGTTGTTCCTCAAACTCGTTCAAACACTTAATTAATTTTTTTCTGTCTTCAATTCTTTCCTCAAACTTAATTAAGTTATTGTCTCTGTGATTTCAAAACATTTTCTTATTATTCTTCCATGTCAAATTAGTTCATTGATCCATTTGACTGATTTATTTATTTCTTCTTCTTCTTCCTGCTCATTGACTGTAGTTTCATCACAAATGTCATTAAATGGAAGCAATTACAAAGGTTATGAGCGAGCATTTTGTGTCCGGATGAAGTCAACTTTGACAAAGCGTGGATGTCACTTTAAATCATCGGGATATCGGGTAAGCAAGTGATTTTTAAGTTATTTGTCATTTAAAATCATTCATTACGGGTTATATAACGACTATACTTACCATTATCATCACGCGATCTACTCAATAATTGTAAATCGTAAACGCGTTTGTGGATGATTGATTAATTGTCGTAGGATATTAATAAAAAATCATCATACACGACATCAATTGAAAATAAATTTGGTAAAACAATGGTCGTTGAATATAGGGTAGGTATCGTTATATATTTTTATATCCATTAGTGAATTGCTCATAACTGAAATACTTTAAATGGCATAAGAAATGAAATTCAATCATAAAGCAAGTCAACTTCCATAACGATAAAAAAATAAAATTGATATTTTTGCAGGTGGTTTTACTACTTTGTCATCTACGGCCGCAACATTCCTTTAGTCATATGAAAAAATCATCTCCACCTTTAATTGGAATGACTGCTATAGCTGTCGCTCTTCCACCGCCATCAGTCCATGAGATTCGATTAGAATGTGATATGTTTGTGACGCGAATTAACTTTGACTTTCGAATAGCGCATTGTGAGCCAAAGTGAGTAGTTTTTTGATTGAGGAACTAGGTATTTTATACAATTTAAGTGATATAGTGGTGGTCAACCTTTTTTTGTGCCACGGCACACCTTGATGGTTAGGCATTTGGTTTTCCTGAATTTTTTCACAACACACACCAGTGTGCCGCGGCACATGGGTTGCACATAGCTGATGTAACATAATCCAACAAAAAACTTACACAAAAAACTTCAATTTTCCCTTTCACTTTTCTCATCTCAACTTACAGAATTACAGAGCTATTAGATTACTCACCCGACGAGTTAGTTGGTGAAAGTCTATACACACTGTGTCATGGTGAAGATGCTGCAAAACTAAGGAAATGTCACACGGATTGTAAGTTCATTATTCAAACTACTTTCTAAATGTATCAATTTTCACTTTTTGTTTCTCACTTCCTTAATAATAAAAATCAGTAATCAACAAAGGACAAGTCTTAACGCATTACTATCGAATAATGAATAAAAATGGTGGATATACGTGGATACAAACATGTGCTACGGTCGTTTGCAGTGCTAAAAATGCCGACGAACAAAACATTATCTGTGTCAACTATATAATAACTGGTAAGGAGAATGCTAACATGATATTAGATCAATGTCAACTCGGCATCATAAAACGTGAGCCGATTGTTTATGCTAAGAATGACAACGAACCAAAATCGCCTGGCGATAACTCACGAAATCCGCATGATCATAAAAATGATAATAATATTAAGCAGAATTCAAACGAGAATCCAACAATGATTAGATCAATGTCTGATAATAGTTCAAATAATTGTGGCAATAAAGTTAATGAGCGGACCGTTCAAAATTGTGATGATGATGCATCGAATTCCACGTCGGGAAAACGAGGTCGTAAACGAAAGGTCAAAGCGGAAGTAAAAGATGATTTGCCACCACCTGAAAGTACACCACCGATGTCAATGGGTCATAATGAGTCTCATCATTCAGATATAACTGTGAAAGAACTAGAGAATGTCATGTCGAAGCATTTACCTAAAACAATGATCCACGATGGAGCGAGTTCAACAGATTTCAGTACAGATTCATTACTGAGACATCATGGCGATGGAAGTGATAAAAATCAAGCAGCACAATATGGAAATACTCATTTTGCGCATCAATCAACAGCTCCAATGCCAGCAACTGCTTTGCTCCGACAACTTTATGCAAATCGCGAGAGCGTGATTCGAGCAACTTCTCGACCTGCAAATTACATGTACAGTGATAACTCTCAGCAACAACAATCGCTACCAACACCACCAAATGATTCGTATGATTCACAATATTTACACAATTCACGAAAATCGAGTGAAGGATTTAGCAATTTACCGTCATCATATGGTGCATATTCATCCATGGAATATAATAATGCAATGACACCGCCAAGTTCTGTCTCACCACGTGACTTGACAAATCATAAATCAAGTGGAAATTATGACTACACGAACTTATCATCTGGTGATTCTCGCGTGCAACAGTACCAAACAGGTACAAATGATACAAATTCTCTACCACATTTACCTTTAAAACCTCAACCATATGCAATTCATCAAATGGATCATTCATCGTATGGTATTGAACATCAATCACAATATTTTCCTTATCATTCTGGCTTTCACTTGTACCATAAAAATATTTACACGCCGCCATAAGATTTTTGTTCGATGTGATAAGGCTTATATTGGTTTTTCTATTTTTATTGGAAAATTGACGAAATTAGCTTAATGTAGTGTTGAGAGTATTGTTATGTAATGATTTAGAGATGGGGCTTCTGATGGATGTACCGGGTATATTATAGAATCTTTGGGCTTATTCTTTTAAACTCTTAAGATAGACACACTAGGTTTTGACTAGGCTGACTCTAGTCAAATAAATTTGTAAGATTCTAGATTCTAGTTTGCCATAACATTCAGGCTAGCCATCACTCCTCCAGAATAAAGCAAGTAAATGGTTATTTTTGGGAATCGAACCAATATCTGAACAGATTTTTCTCAAATTATGGTTGGATGTTATTGATTTCTTGCCTATCCATTCGGTCACAGACTATATTTTCTTGGACTGGCAGAATCGATGTATAAAGATTGTTCAAAACTCTTAATAGATAGGGTTAACATTTTGAAAGCTAATTTAGAACCTTTGGCTAAGCCGATGCCCAAAAATATGTTTAAATACCCACGAAACCAATTTTTTTCAACTCAACCTGATTTTTAAAAATTCCAAAAAAGCTCCCAATCTAATTAAATTATGGAACATGTTACAAATTATCACTTAATAATTCAATGTAAAGGTAAGATTTAGCTCAAAAATTGATAATGCTTAATTATTATCATCAGTGACAAGAGAACAAAAGCGAAATACGTGCCAAAATTGTTTGCATACTCAAATAATAATATTTTCCATTTTAATTCGATTATAAATGATAAACGATAATTAAACACGTATGTAAATGTAATTATAATCCCCAACACATACACACACACTCATAAAATGCAATTTATTTTGCATAAAAAAAATTATTAAATTGAAATTTTCAATGGTTAAATTATTATGAGAGAGAAAAATAAATAAATAAATCTAATTATAAATGAACAGAATAAAAAGTTTTTTTTGTGTCTCTGCTGGCATCGGATTATGAATAATAATTCATGTTCTGCGTGAGCTTTCCCTATCTATTGCAGGTAACTTCCAAATGAGTTTTTAAATTACAGGAAAAAGAAGAAAAAAGTTTTATTCTTCGCTTTTTTAATGAAAAAAGAAATAAAAGTTTTTCTGTGTTTTCCTCTATACTGTTATCGAGAGATGCTTTACATGTTGGTATGGAGTGTGATGGAAACTTTTTTCATATTTTTATATGGATTGTAAATTTTTAAGACTTCTTTATGGAAAGAGAATCTTTAGATTAAGTTATTTTACAAATGCTGTGTATTAAAATAGGAATAGGAGCTATATCCTGCTATATCCTAGCTAAATTCCAATACCAGATATTATTCTTTATTAGCTACCTTTCTAAACTAGTTATCTTCTTTTACTAGCTTTCCTTCTATTATAGCTACTTTTTATACAAGCTACTTTCTATACTAGCTACTTTTCTATATAAGCCCTTCTATACTAGCTACTTTTGTATTCTAGATTTCTTCGTATTCTAGCTGTCTTTTGAAATCTCCTGAAAAAGAGTTCTAAACATCCCTCTATTAACTAATAACACATAGCTAGATTTAGCCTTCAATCATCTGAACACACCTGTCTGAACAATTTCCAGAATGTTCTAAAAACTCAAAATCCCTATAAAATGCGCTCAAATCCTAGTCACATCCCTAGGAAATTTTAATATCTTCCACCATTAAAAAATCTCCATCATCCTACATCGCGAAAAGCTCCTCATTTCTGTGCCATAAAAAAAACATTCGCGCTGTTATGAACAAAAATGTACAAACTTGGGTACAAACACAGAGAAAAGAGAGAAATTATTGATTTTCCTCAGATACATTTTCTCATTAGTACGTGATGAGCATATTTACAATAAAATTATGAGTACAGCATGAACATTTTTTTCTCCTGTCTTTACTTAAATACAGAAATTTTGTTTCAAAGGAGAAGTTTAATTTTTTTTACTTTAGAAAATTTTAAGGAAGAAGATGGAAAGTTTGTGATTTTATGGCAAATTTTGGAAGTTGCTGAATTTTGAAGCATGTTTAAAGAAATAATATCGTTTGATAGTGCCTCATGAACTTAAAGGTGTGGAATTACATTAAATTTTGTCAATTAAGTGAGTGTCTACAACAAATTGACCTGTTATGAACTTTACTTCCTCGGATGTAGCCAGAACATTAACAGGAACAACGCTAATGATTAACATACTCTTTGAATGCTTCCTTAAAATCATTAGTATCTTCTGGAAGTTCTCAAATAAAGCTACAGCAAGAATAAAATCAATGATATAACTCAAAGTACATTTATAGTTTAAGTTGGCAATCTGCCAAGCTTGTTTGCAGCCCTTTGATAGCTTAGTGGTAAGAGATGTGTAATCAATAATCAAAGACCGCGGGTTCGAATCTCAGTTGGAAATGTTCGCATTTTCTGGTAAATATCCAAATTAGATTCAAAGGTTAAGTTTGTAGCAGTCTAGGAACTCTCCGAACGTTAAATTAATGAATTTCAACTATGAATAAGTGAAAAATCTAACGACGAAACACTGATCACGTGGACGAATTACTTTTAATCACTTTTTATCACTTATTCTTAAATATATACTTAAACTCGACTTTTATCGAGTTCTAATGAACTATATGTATTAAATAATAACTAGATCTTAAGTTTTTAATGTTTTTAAATGATATAAATAGTATTTTATTAATGGAAACGAATCTTTTTATTTTTGATATGACAATATAAGTGCCGTTCCTTCTCTCTATCCGTCTGTCCTTTACTTCACCAATACATACGCTATAAGTTCAAATCTTAACAAATTAAATGTTTTTCAGCATGTATAAATTAACAAAATTAAAGACTGAGCCGGCGCCCGTCACTTGTAAAAAGGGGTTGAAGGACTTAGAACTCACGAACTAAGGATCAATTTCTACATTATGAACGGTAGAGCAAGTATCAATGTCAAAAAATTGGAGCCATACTTTTGAGCTCTCAATTTTAAGGTCAGTTCAAGTTGGAAAAAAAATTTCAATCTCCTTTAAAGTTACAAACTTAATCATCCCAAATACAACTTCGAGTCTACACTTCTACGATTCATAAGCATTAATATTCACATGAACCTGATAATTCCCCTCCAGAAAAATTCCTATGATTCATAATTAATCGAGACAAAAAATCGAATTTAAAATTTTTCACGTTCACAAAATAATTTATCTAATAAAAAATGTTTAATTCACATCAATTCTTTTTCTTTTGCTTGCTCGATGCTCTTTCCATTCCCAATAATATTTAAATGAATTGAAGAAAAAGTTCTCACGTGATATTTTGTTTGAACTTTTCAGTGCCTTACTAAAAATAGATAAAAAAAATTGTCTATAAAGCATGTACAGCATAGCATGAGCAATAAAGCAAGTTGGAGAATAACTAGGGTTTCTGAAGCCGTTAACGAAAAACGGAAAACGGCCGTTAACGGTACAAAAATTGAAAACGGAAAACGACCGTTTTTCATTCCGTTTTTCCGTTTTCTCATAGTTCATGCAATGTAATTTTTAAAAAGATTTTTGTTTATTTCCTTTAAAAATTATTCTCAAAAACAGTTAAAAGTTTTTTCAATTGAGATTTATTATTATGGATTGCCTGGAAAGTTTGAAAATCTCATTTCAAGTATATTAGAATCAGAAATGTAATCATAGTTGCGCGTCCAGTTTTGTTTGTGGTTTAGAGACAACAAATCAAAATCTGGACTCAAGAATTTACAACGGGTTTTTCATATTTGATTTTTATCAATTTTTATGAAAAATACAGGAAATCGATCGGAAAATCTTCAAAAACTTTATGATGCTTTGTTGTGTATTAAGCCGACATAGAGCGAATATTTTCAATCTGTAATAATTTTTGCACAAAGATTCGTTCAAGGCTGGCTGATGCATCACTAAATGCTCTTGTTTTTCTTAAGTTTTATTATAATAAAATGAATAAACAGTTATAATAAATATAAATAGAAATCTACATATTATCTATATGGGCAATTCCACGGATGAGTTGAATTTCGAAAAAAATAAATTTGTTGATCCATGTTCTTTAAAAATTTGATTGCTTCACAAATAAACTTTAATTAAGCTTACACTTTTTAAAACGAGTTAAAGATCTTCGTTGACTATTAAACTTTTAAAAACAAGGTTCTAATCAAAGAAATTATTGTTAATTAAAGTAAAAATTGGTTTTTTAAAAATTATTTTCTCTTGGATTTGGCTTAAGCGTTGGTATATTACATTAATTGCATTAAAATTATTCATTTTTCTGTCTATCGAGTGTCTTTTAAGTCAATTTAAGTATGCAGAATCATAGCAGAGGATAGAAAGAACGGTTAATAAAGACAACATTAATAGTTGTAAAAACATCTTAAAGTGGTAAATTTCTGCTTTCATATTCAGAATTCAACATTGTGTAATATACCAACGCTCACAAAAATCCAAATATTTCATTAATTAAGGCATGACAAGATGCGTAAGTTAGATAGAATGAAAGAGTTTGGCGTTTTACATAAGTTTGTGAAAAAATTGCAGCTGCAAAGTTCTCTAATTAAGAGAAAATTCGATTCAAACATGAATATTTTGGAAAAATCAATCCGTGGAATTGCCCTTATAGCACAACAATTCTTTATCTTTTGAGGAATATTTCATTTATATTTGGTTATTTAAAAAACTTAAAACGGTCCGTTAACGGCCGTTATTGAAAATAAAAAACGGAAAACGGCCGTTTTCGAAAATGCCGTTTTTCAGAAACCCTAAGAATAACCTATGAATTTTCAATCAGGCATGAAATTGAAACATTCATGCTCGAGAATTGGAAAATAATTGATTGAAATTCTCTTTTGGTGGGCTTAAAACTGTACATTTTTATATTTTGGAATGGTCATTGTAAGTATGTGGAACGATATTGCCTAATAATAACATCAATGACTCATCAATTCTCAACTGACATTGACAAGCTTCTGGTGCTTGTTAAAGTATATGCTGTTGAATAATGAAGCTATTTATAAAGAGCCTACAAAAGTATCATTTGATAGATGTACGAAGTATCACAAGTGGATCATCCGACTATGAAGTAAAAGTGAATTTTCAGGCAATCATAATTGTCCAGGACGTGCAAAATTACCTCTGAAAAATTATTTTTCGTACGTTTTCACAACATGTGAACGTGATTGGCGTCACAATTAGACTCCGCCTTAACAGAGCGCATGCATGTGACATGCTCGACTATCTTGAATACAAGCGTAATACAACATCATCGACAGGGGGGCTACAACAACAACAACAACAACTGTACAACATTCATTCGACACAAAAATCAATATTCAGAATATTGATGGTCGAAGACTATCTCTTTTTTTTGCGTACATTGCGGGAACGAGGAAGAGGAATATAACTTGGTTACTGGGTCTCTTTTTTCGGATTCAAACGGATGGCGATTCAACAAGTGTAGCGAGTGAAACATGACTTTTTATCAATCAAAACAAAAAGAGAATTTTTTTCGGATCGAACACGTCCAACAGTCGCATACAACTCTTGAATATGTTTGGTGGACGGAATTTTAACTAAAATTTCTTCTTCTGCTGGCTCGAATGTTACGTGTTCGGGAGCAACGCACGTTCTGGAAGTAATAACTATTCTGAAAACAATAATTTTGCTGTTTGGCATGTCTTTTGCTCTATGCGATCGATATTGTTGTGTCTCGAAACAGTTCATGTCAATTTATGACAACTTTTCCTCATTTTCATTTCCTTTCCTGTGTGCAATTAATCTTAAAAGAAAGAAAAAATGTCGAATAAATGAAAAAGATTTTTATAATTTCAAGTTCAGTGGCAATGGAAATACAAAATACTGAGCACGTATCGTTCCTCGATAAATGAAGAAAGAATGAAAATTCTTCAATGAAA